TGTATGTATTGTATGTATGTATGTATGTATGTCATGTATGTATGTATGCTTCAATGTATGTATGTATGTACTAATGTATGTATGTGATGTATGTATGTAGGATGTATGTATTATGTATGTATGTATGTAGGCTATGATATGTATGTATGTATGATGTATATGTATGTATGTATGTATGTGATGGTACCCTGTACTGGGTAATGTATGGCTAATGTATGATGTATGTATGTATGTTATGTATGTAATGTATGTATGTAGGTATGTTATGTAGTATGTATGTATGTAATGATAGTATGTACTGTATGCTATGTACTGTATGTACCTGTATGTATGTATGTACGGTATGTATGTATGTATGGTATGCTATGTATGTATGTAGTATGTTATGATATGTATGTATGTATGTATGGTGTATGTATGTATGTATGGTTACTGTATTGTAGGTATGATGTTGTCCACTCGTATGTATGTATGTAATGTTGTATTGATATGTCATGATGTATGTATGTATATGTATGTATGTATGTATGTATGTATGTATGTATGATATGTATGTATGTATGTATGTATGTATGTATGGTATGTATGATATGATGTATGTATGTATGTATGTATGTATGTTATGTATGTATGTATGTATGTATGTATGTATCTATGTATGTATGTATGTATGTATGTATGTTATGTATGTACGTGTTATGTATGCTACTGTATGTATGTATGTTAGAGTATGTGATGTGTGATGTATGATATGTGGGGACTGACTATGTGATGTGTGATGTATGATATGTATGCTATGTAGTTATGTACCTGGTACTTGCTATGTATGTTAAAAATAATGTCTGTCCATCAAATGTAAAATGAAAAATGTTCGTTTGTAGTAGCCATGTGTACCCTTGTCGGGCTCTTGTTTTTTTTTTTGTGTTCTTATGTTTGTGTTGGTTTTATATGTGTGTTGGTGGCTTTACATATTTCTTGTTTATCTTTGTCTTTTATATATGTATGTATGATGTATGTATGTATGTATGTATGTATGTATGTATGTATGTATGTATGTGTATGTAATGTATGTATGTATGTAGTATGTATGTATGTATGTATGTATGTATGTATGTATGTATGTATGTATGTCATGGTATGTATGTATGTATGTAGTAGTGTATGTATGGATGTCATGTATGTATGTATGTATGTAGGTATGTATGTATGTATGTATGTATGTATGTATGCTATGTATGTATGTATGTAATGTATGTATGTATGTATGTAAATGTATGTATGTATGAATATGTATGCTATGTTATGTATGTATGTATGTATGTATGTGATGTATGTATGATGTATGTATGTATGTATGTATGTTATGTATGGCTTGTATGTATGTTATTGTATGTATGTATGTATGTATTGTAATGTATGTATGTATGATATGTTATGTATGTATGTATTATGTATGTATGTATGTATGTGAATGTATATATGTATGTATGTATGTATGTATTATGTCATGTATGTATGGTATGTAACTGATATTATGTATGTATGTATGTTAGTATGTAATGTATTGTAGTGTATGTATGTATGTATGTATCGTATGTATGTATGTATGTATGCATTATGTATGTATGTAGTACTGATATGTATGCTATGTATGTATGTATGTATGTATGTAGGTATGTAGTATGTATGTATTGTATTGTATGGATAATGGTATGTATGTATGTATGTATGTGATGTATGTCATGTAGGTATGTATGTATTGTATGTATGTAGGTATGTATTATGTATGTAGGTATGTACTGTATGCTATGTATGTATGTATGTATGTATGTACTGTTGTATGTTATGTATGTATGTATGTATGTATGTATGTATGTATGTATCGGATGTAGTATGTATGTACTGTATGTATGGCTATGTAGGTATGTATGTCTTATGTATGTATGTATGATATGTATGTATGTTATTTGTGATGTATTGTATGTATGTATGTATGTATGTACTGCTTGTATGTTACTGATATGTATGTAATGTATGTATGTATGTATGCTATTGCTATGTGAGGTGTATGTATGGATGTAGTATGCTATGTATGTAATGCTGATGTAGTATGCTATGTATGTATGATATGTATGTATGCTATGCTCATGGTATGTATGTATGTATGTATGTATGTATGTATGTATGTTATGGGATGTATGTATGTATGTATGTATGTATGTATGTATGTATGTATGTTATGTATGTATGTATGTACTGTAGTATGTCATGCTATGTATATATGTATGTCCATGTTGATGATGTACTGTATGTAGGTATAGGTGTTCATGTATGTATGTATGATATGTATGCTATGTATGTATGTATTAGTATGTATGTATGTAGGTATGTATGTATGATGTATGGTATGCTATGTATTGTATGTATGTATGATATCTATTATGTATGTATGTATGTATGTAGTATGTATGTATGTATGTATGTATGTATGTATGTATGTATGTATGTATGTATGTATACACGTAGTGACGTATATGACAGGCGAGTTGGGACACAAATGGTATTTAATGTCTATCATTAAATCATTTAGTGTTTGTCCATAATTCCATGCCTATGATTGGCTGAGAAAAAATCAGTTGTATATGATTGGTTGATTTAATGACTGTCACTAAATATGGCAGGCGAGGTGGGACACAAATGGTATTTAGTGTCTATCATTAAATCATTTAGTGGTTGTCCATAATTCCATGCCTATGATTGGTTGAGAAAAAATAAGTTGTATCTGATTGGTTGATTTAATGACTGTCACTAAATGGAATATATGATAGACATTAATTCGAATTTGTGACTCTCACTAAATACCATTTGTGTCCCACCTCGCCTGCCATATACGTAGCACTGCACGTCAACGAATGTTGCGAGTGTGGCGTGTTAGCCTAGCGATGAACAGCCGTGGGTTCGCATGCGAAATATTATCATGTATGAGCCCTGATGTAAAAAATTATCTCGTAAAAACGAACTGTCGCCTGGAACCAAAATTGACTTTGACGAGACGATGTATTAATTAGTTTATATAAACACGCTATAATTCGTATATCCGTTTTATTTAGAAACATTAATTATACATATTACAACATTATTTATAAAGAACATTTTATTTTGGCTCCGTTTGTACTATTTATTAATACGGAGCTTTTTCCGTTCGAACAAACTTATTTTCGTTTAAACAAACTTTTTTTTTCGTACGAACGAACATGTTTTCATTCAAACGAATTAAAAAATTATTTTTTTGCTCATTTCCGTTTGTAAGCTTCGTACAAGGCAATATGCGGTCTGTATAGCTGACAGTTAACGCAGAACACTTCGCCGTTGGCGCTGCTAGGGCCTGTGACAGCCTCTAGTTGTTTCTAACACGTAAAAAACACGCCTCACCTGCGGAGCATGTCCTAAGGTTTACCACCAGGGTGAGCCACAGCAATATCTCAGCTGATGTCAAATAAGACATCATTGTCACTACTATTTCTTAAACCTGAGAAGAAAAGAAAAGCATGTCAAGTACAATAGTACTTAGCAACTCGCGGCTTAATTAGAATAATACTTGAGACCAGTCTTCAATGCTTTCTTGTTGCAATTACCCTGACCCAATATGGGTTGAGCCACTTCTATTTACTGAACGCAATATACTTACGCACACGGCAAAGAATATTTACAAATAAAACCACTAAAATTTTATAAATGTTTGGCCGTTATTTTTACCTAGGTGTGTATTATCACCTGTGTTAAAGCGTAATTTTTGCTACGACCTCTATTAGACTAGAGTTGACTTACTTATCATAGTAACGAATTCGCATTAGCTAACAAAAAGTTGTTGTTTATATTACAGAGGTTGTTGAAAACAGACGATGCCCCTATCAATTATTTACAACACTTCTATTAGCAGATAATTTAGTAGGCGGCACTTAGGAGTAATTAAAAGAACCACGCGGTCTCGAGCGAGTCTAACGGATTGGTGGTTACCGTGTTCATTTATGGATCGAAACCTACATCAACCAGGTTCGTTATGCCTGGTATGATAGCGCCGCATTACATAAATTATGAGCATCGTTAATTTTAGTGCCCACTGCGCACCTATTTACCAGCAACTAGCTAATTAATTACGAAATATTCTTTAATGGTAAGCAACACCTTCGTTGTTGGCGCCTTTGGCTTGATCAAGGAAATCAAGGAAGCGATCCAACGGGAGCCTATAGTCATACTATCACCAGCCGGAGAGTAAATGTGTTTCTATCATGTATGCACGTTCACACTAAAGTAACTAAATATAAGTGTCCTCTACTGTCGCTCATTGCATCAAGGGAATGGCCTGAAAGCTCGCATTGCTCATCCATGCACTTTTAGGTAAAACGAAGAGAGTATTTAACAGCTATCGTCTAATTGGCTAGAATGTAGATAAACCCTAAAATAAATTGGGAAATGATAATTGAAAAAACTTGCATTCATCCTAATAATATCGAGCATGCAATTTATTCTTTCAAAACACATAAAAGTATTCCCTCGTCATCATGTGGCTAAGTGATGCAATTGTGCCCCTTTAAGAAGTTGCGCAGGCCCTGCCCCATCTTTCGGAGACCCTTCCTAAACCCCCAACTGATATTCGCTAACGGCTGTCGAAGCTTATTCAACATATAAATGATAATAATATAATATATATATATATATATATATATATATATATATATCTTTAATTGTAATAGAAGAACCTAACCATAATAGAACCACCTAACCACAATGGCCGTTACTCACCCGCAAAGGTCGGACTTGCGTCGTCTACTAGCGATTCTTTCGTCGATATATTTGTTCGCTCGTCTGTATCTTGTACGTTTTGCAAAAGTCGACGTATGTTGTGCAGTTCTGCACGTAGTTAGGAAACAAAGTACAGCTAGGTTCAGCGTTAGTATTGCCGGCGTCGTCGTTGTATTATGTGCATTTTCCGTGCGCAGCCTACAGATTCCGCCATCAGCGTCCAGATCCACCCGCTGAAGTTTCCGAGCGCACACGGGCCGGAGATTCACTTCCCGAGCAAAGGTGCAGTAAGTAGATCAAGAAGAGACAGCGGGGATCGCGTTTGAATGCAATGAAATGTTAATCGCTGTGACGGGAGCGACCAGCGATGCACCGACCAGCTACCAACTTTCACCTTAACCCCTCTTCGTTGCAATTATCGGACGAAATATAAATACGCGCAAAACGTGATACTCCCAGAGTGGTCACCGTGCAGAATAGCTACGATTCACCGGCTGAGGTAGTTACGGCTGCTGCTGCTGCTAGGTTTCGTTGTGATGGTAACTGTGGTTAGGGGTAACCTAACAAACATGAAGCAACGTGAGGTGAGCGACAAGATGATAAGAGGGAGAGAGAGGGAGCCTCAAGCAGGCTTAATTAATAGAGACCCCGATGCTATATATATATATATATATGTGTGTGTGTGTGTGTGTGTGTGTGTGTGTGTGTGTGTGTGTGTGTGTGTGTGTGTGTGTGTGTGTGTGTGTGTGTGTGTGTGTGTGTGTGTGTGTGTGTGTGTGTGTGTGTGTGTGTGTGTGTGTGTGTGTGTGTGTGTGTGTGTGTGTGTGTGTGTGTGTGTGTGTGTGTGTGTGTGTGTGTGTGTGTGTGTGTGTGTGTGTGTGTGTGTGTGCGTGCGTGCGTGGGGGCGTGAGTGCGTGGTACGTGCGTGCGTGAGTGCGCGCGTGTGTGGATGGAATTTAATCTGCCTAATGCGAATGATTAACGCCTTTCGCTCAGCTCTGCGCCAAAGTACGCGCGTTTAATAATTCGTGCGGCTGGAAGAAAAACAATAGAGAATACTTGTCAATGTGCGATGTCAGCAAACAATGACATATTGATACTGACGGGTTAATATTGCCTGATGTTTATTTGTTGGTATTGGTAAGGTGGATATTGGTGATGCTCATATTAATCTTGGTTTGCAGATACATATCGATACGATGATATTGGTTGATATTATTTTATGGATTGGTATTGGCAAGATTGAATATAGAAAGTTCCCGTGTCCCGTACGATATATGGTGGTTCACCTGTATGCCGCCTGCTACTTGGAATCGTAAACGTTTCAATTATCTAACTGTAACCAATTATTATTATTGTTATTATTATTATTATCATATTGTCGTTAGTCATATACCAATTATTGATTCAGTCGCGCGACATTTGTTCGATATTTGTTTGATATATTAGTCACCTTGTGTGTCTTGCCCTGAACCATCTAATCCTGTCCCTCGTCCGTTACCGTTGGCGAGGTCTGTAACAGTATAGACCGCAGAACAGTATATTAGATCGATCTGCATATTATATTCGATCCATGGAGGGTTGCGTTTGTATATATTTGTATTAACATCCAATAGTAATATTTCTTTGATAATAAGGGTTTCAACACGTTCTATCATCTTATAAAGCTTACATCTTACAAATAGCTACATTAAGCTTCAATCTTATGAGAATGAAGATAGAGAAAGGTTGTGTGAACCACAATCATTGATTGCACTGTTCGTATTTTGTCTTACACAAATAAGTGGTAGACATTCGACGTACGCACCTTTACAAGCAGCGCCGTGTTGTGTTAATCCACCAACACACTGACAGACGCCGGAGGCGCAGATAGCGTTTCTTCTACAGTCGCTGTCCACCGTACAATAAGCTGTTTAGAAACCCCATAATAATTTGTAAATCGCTATGCACAAACCGCACATACACCAGCATGATATCACATACGTATCAAATGAGGAATAAGTAAATGATACTCATTGCGTATTCACTTATTGTATACGTAGATCAGGTTTACTCCTGATAGATTAGAACTACATTTGGTGAGCACAGATCAAGATGTCGTCGATCGAACTTGCTATACATCACAGCGTAGGCTGGCCAAGATAGACGCACGCACACGCCAACACGCGCACACGCATGCACGCAGGGACAAAAACGCACGCACACGCGCACGCACACACTCACAGATTGAACGCTCAAATATAGGGAAGGTCTACATTCCAACTCACCGAACACGCCGGCTTCGACGTATCTTAGTAGAGGTAGACATAGTAGAAACGCAGCGGACGCTGAAGTGATTATCATTGCATCAGCGGTTATCTCTTGTACGTGTGCCTTCATTGACGACGACCTCTAAACATAGTCGTTGCATGTCAAGTGCAAATAAATGTTTTGCGCACGCACGCAATACAAGCACGAACGGTTGACTTTTGCATATGGCATCTCGTAAAAATTTCAGAGGTTTGAGTTCTTGCAACATCTTTAGCGAATAGGCAAAAAATCACATACATACATAGCAATCGGAAGAATATATGTGGTGGTATTTAACCACCGCCACTCACTTAGTCACCATTTCTAGAGCCGAATTAAAACAATTCCCTTCTTTTTTCACGAATGATCGAATAAGCACACATATTTTCAAAAGGTAATAAATATTCCATGTAATCTCACAGAAAAATTGCATGCGCATAACAGAAATAACCCATATCAGAAACACGCACAAGCGCGCATACGCACGCACACAGGCACGTACATACGTACATATAATACACACACACGCACGTAAGTACGCACACACGTAAGTACGCACACACGTAGGCACGCACGCACGCACACGCACGCATGCAGGCACGCACAGAGACATATAGTTACCGCATAGCACGAAAAACACTTCAGTTCTCCTAATTAATGCCCACACACGCACGCACGCACACACACACACACACACACACACACACACACACAACACAAGCGCCGCACATGCACACACTACACACACACACACACCCACACACACACACACACACACACACAACACACACCACCACCACACACACACACACACGCACGCACGCACGCCACGCACGCACGCACGGCACGCATGCACGCACGCACGCACAACACACAGACATATAATATAATATATATATATACTTACCGATATATACTAGCACGAAAAACACTGTTCTCCTAATTAAAGAATCTTAGATGTGTGAATCTGGAAAATGTAGCGATGAGTACGAAAACTCAACTAAAAATATAATTAACATGTGGTTATACACGCATAAACAGTTAGAAGCACCAAACACCTGTTCATAATGAATATATCATCTCCATCAGTAGGACCGCCGACATCACACGTATCATCACCTCTATCAACGATACCAAATCAAACAACCCCAAGGTGCACCATGTAAGCTGTGGAAAGTGTAGGAGTGGTGGGTGGGGTGAGGACGAGAAGGCAACCAGTGTGTCCGATATTGTTCACAGACACGCCACGTGCCGCGAAAGTGGCATTTTTTTCATTCGTCCCTCAAACCTTTATACGTGCGTCAAATGTGACAGTGTGCCGACTCGTGACTGTCAAAGATAACCGCTTGAATCGTGTATACCATGTCCGGTTTAGGGTGCGCATTCAACCAACATATGGGATTATGTGGTACCTTTGGGGTACTTTAGGGTGTACCTTTGGGGTACCTTTATGGATTATGGGATTATTATATACCTTTGTGATATAATTGATGCTCGGCAATGTAAATTAATTCAATAGTATTTCTAACATTTGCCGTTTTATCTGGCTTGTCATTGCCGATATAAGACAGATCATTACAAATCCATGCATCATAATAATCATGCATCATTATAATAATTATTAATAACATTATAATATATTATATATAATAAATATTATTTTATTATTTATGTTAATTATCATCTTATAATATGCATCATAATAATTATGCTCTTAGTACAGAAGCTAGCTAACACCAAATGCTAACTACAGAATTACACTTGTCGTTGTGGACCGAGAACATGACAGCTATGAGCAGCGTAGTCAATATATCGTTTTTTGTCTCATTCTTCGCCTTGCACAGCATCCTGCAAGTACGTAGTCATGGCGCCTCCACGAAGCCACACACAAACACAAACATCACCAAGAAAAGATACAAAGACGCAAAGATAAAATGTGTTATTTAACATTTTAATTCATATAGCTTTATGCACCAATATTGCATGTTGCTTTTGTCTATCAGTATCGCCTATCGATTAATGTTTAATAGCCAACGTTTTTAACTCATAATATATTTTTCAGGTAACTAACATTAGAAAGAAGGCAGTGAATTTTTATATTAACATGTTTCAAATTTAGCAACTTCACTTCACAAACAAAACAGCTCCTTAAAGCCAACTTATTTACTGGAAATTGATATGGCTCTCTCGTTTTCTCGTTTGATCTCTCTTCCTCTCTCTATTTTCTCTCCTTCTCAGGAGAGACAGGCAGGCACGCACGCACAAAAGCGCAAAGAACCCAGGTACACGCAGCGTACGCAAGCACGCACGCGCGCACACACAAACACGGTGCACTCATGCACGCATTGAAATATACATACTTTATTCAATATTTCATAAGATACATATACAGATATATTCCAGATACGGAGAGCTTCAAAACAAGGGGTTTGAAGCGACACGTGGCCACTACCGCCACTAGCTGTTATCCGGAGTAGATATGTCCATCATAAGAAGACACCAGCCTGCTGCTGCTATTATAATATCATATGTCCATGTTCCTTATGGCTTGACGCTACCAGCGTCCCTCCTGCTGTTACCATGACTGCAACTTCCATCTTACTTAGCTGCTATTATAACAGCATATGTCCATGTTCCTTCTGGCTTGACGCTACCACGTCCCTCCTGCTGTTACCATGACTGCAGCTTCCATCTTACTTAGCTGCTATTATAACAGCATATGTCCATGTTCCTCATGGCTTGATGCTACCACGTCGCCTCCTGCTGTTACCATGACTGCAGCTTCCATCTTACTTAGCTGCTATTATAACAGCATATGTCTATGTTCCTCATGGCTTGACGCTACCACGTCCCTCCTGCTGTTACCATGACTGCAGCTTCCAACTTACTTAGCTGCTATTATAACAGCATGTCCATGTTCCTCATGGCTTGACGCTACACCTCCCTCCTACTGTTAGCATGATTGCAGCTCCATGGGTTCCACGCTGCCTTGTTCCAAGGCTTAACACGGGCGGCGCATCGTGCCTCCCGCTATTCGCCGCACCGAGGCGATGGCGCGCCGCACGCTACCTGCCTCTGTTCTTATGTACGAGGTCCACCAGCAGCTTGCTAGCAGCATTACCTATATGACTTGCTGATGATGCATGAATGAAAACATTCAGAAGCTATACTGAGTGGCGAGCCACGTGAGCAGGAAATCGAGGGTTGCGTGACAGGGGTCAACCTAGTGGGATCAGTGGGGCGAGAGAGTCCACGGCTGTGACGGCAATGAAAGAATCCCAGCGCAATGGCGGCCGGTGTCTTCGAGACTTGACGCTCTGGCAGTGTCGTCGCGGCTGCCCGTCGTTGCCATCTACAGAAAAAAAACGCGCAGGCATTTAGATAATCGCTCATACTTTAGAACTTCGTAGAACCTAATTGCTAATCAGATCTATGTGCTCACAGTGAGAGCATTTGCATTACAATGGCCTCCGCTTTAATCGGTCCAGATAAAAAGGCGCATCGGTTTAACAACACATGTCTTTGGAAAACAATATTGCGCACGTTTTGTGTTCGTCGTGTAATCGGGACCACCGTTTAATGAACAATTCTATGGTTCCTTACATGTCTCTATAAAGCAAAGGCCAGTGTATCATATAAAATCAGTATGTTACAAGTTTACCATGCGTTGTTATTGAAAGTGGAGGTTGATAGAGAGAAAAAACAGTTTCAAAATAGGTCAATCTGAGTGGTCGTGAAGTTTCACACTTTTCCTATTTCCTAGTTAGCTATTTTTGGCAATACCAATTATATCATTACTATCCCAACTACTGTTGCTAATTGCGAACATCTGCTCCTATCAAACTGCTGCTCCTACCAGTAAATATAGAGTATAACATACACTACAAACCCTACTAGTATTAACAAGTGCCGCGGAGCGACAGCGCTCATCTACGTCTACTGCGGTGTGACTCTGTGGTAGAGTGGTGGATTCTAGTAAACCCTAGCTGTTAGTCCCAAATGTGTTCAGCATACGCCGCGCGAAACAGTG